GAATCCTGAAAGAATGAATTACGATTTATGCCTTATCAGCACTAAAAAGTGACAATCTGGAATTTCTGGCACCTTATCTACGGCCTGTGCACAGGGCACGTTTAAACACCTTCTTAAAGGTTGCTGTTGAACGGCAAATGCAGATACTACGCCATTAAATGGGAACGAAACATGCAGAGTTAAACGGGACCCAGCAGCAAAAATCTTACTGTTTGACAAAGAATTCATTCAAGCGAAAAAAATTATGTCTTCCAAAGCACATTTGGAAAGTTTGTGGCTGTTAATGAGGAAGAAATTAAATGAGTTGCTTACTTAAAAATAGCATGTTTGCTAGAATTCAACAAAAACTTTATGTAACTGGGATTAAGCAAGAAGCTTATGCTGCATGTCATTTATTGTTTCTCTTCATTGTGAATCATGTAATGAAAGCATTAACGTATGGATATCTGCCATCTGAATGGAGAGAAATGCCATGAAGTCGTCAGAAAATTAAATGCGAATTACACTCTCTCCCAGCTGACACTGTGCTGTTTAGGAGGAGATTGCTTTTCTTTATGGATCATAGAGGATTGTTGGTTATGGATGATGATAAGCAAGCCTGTTTGCATTTATGAACGACAGGATTGTGCAAAAAGCTCTCACAAATGAAAGCTGATAAGCGTGCTGGTATCAGAGTTATTCAGCGTGTATACCTTTGTGCTGGTAAAAATGCTTCTTTTCATCTCATTTCATACCTCATTTGCATCTGACTTGCAAAACAGTTGAACAAAATTCAAAATATTTCAGATTCTTGACTCTTGCCAATTCCCACTGCAAATGAGTTTTATACAAATATAGTTTTAGACATATGTCTATCAGCTATGTACACACACACACATCAATGTTGGCAACAGTTGTGCTGCCAAATTTTTTTTTTGGAAACTGTGATACTTTTTTCAGGATTCTTTGATGAATAAAAAGTTAAAAAGAACAGCATTTATTCAAAATATAAATCTTTTCTAACAATATAAATCTTTGCTGTCACTTCTTATTAATTTAACACATCCTTGCTAAATAAAAGTTTGAATTTCTTTAAAAAAAAAAAAGAAAGAATAAAAATTTACTGACCCCAAACTTTTGAACGGTAGTGTATATTGTTAGAAAAGATTTCTATTTTAAATAAATGCTGTTCTTTTTAACGTTCTGTTCATCAAAGAATGCTGAAAAAAGTATCACAGGTTCCAAAAAAAAATATGAAGCATAATAAATCAGCATATTAGAATGATTTCTGAAGATCATGGTGACACTGAAGACTGGAGTAATGATGCTGAAAATTCAGCTGCGCATCACAG